GGGGGGGGGGGGGGGGGCTAGCCACAAAAATCTTCTACATCTACATGCATGAAAGCTTAGCGTTCAGTCAATCAGTCATATACACTTACTGTGTGTATCCCTTGCCTCCAGCTGGACAATTCTCTAATGTCACGGAAACGGTGAAATTTACCTATAAACATAAATCAAAACTTATATCCAAATACTGGAAACCCCCGACATAAGCCCCTGTGTGTAAAAAGCCCATCATAATTTTATGATGGGCTTTTTTTTCCTTAGGAGCAAACATGAGCCAGGGAATTAAATTCGGGGGTTTAACATTTCATTATCTGATTGTGTATTAGAAATGTTAACTTACAATATATATTATTACTAACAAAATGTTGTCCATCTACTGCATCCCCTGACAGTCACAGTTTCTATATTTCCGTCTTTACATTACACCAATGTTTTCGCTACTCTTCAAGAAGCAAACAAAATAACGAAAATAATTTAACGTACCGTCTCTCCAATAGTGACGTTTTCACACGTTTGACCTGGAAAACTACCACCCCTAGAAATGTTGAACAGAATTACTAAAAGTGACTGAGATTAACAATAATATATGCAGCATACTGTATGAACTGTACGTAAACAAAGGACGCGAGTCAAAGAAATCGCGGTATAATTTATGTTTGTCATACGAAGAAACTGTTCGTTAGATTCCTTTGGCTTTCGTGTACTAAAACGCAATATACTTTAAATATAGCAAAGGAAGTAATACAAAAACATTCAAGTCACTATTTCGGGAATTGTAAAATGTTCGTCGATTTCCGTTCTCCTCGGAAAGGTTGATCTCAGTTGATGGAAGAGCCTGAGTACGAGGTTATTCTCTCGGTTCACACTGCAACTCACCGATTTCATTCCAGTAACTTGAATATTCAATCTATTTATTAATGCATGTAAAGCACAGTAAAAAACAAAGTATAAAGAACATACAAACAGTGTGCTAAATATTCAATTTTGAGGTCTTTGGTATCCTGCTTATCGTGGAAAACTGTTTGAGTTGTACCAATTTTCTATATAGCAGAACACATACATTTGAGAATTAGTATACATCTAATGCTCACCAAACGCCTCTGATCAGGAGCGCTTACACATACTATAGTTGTAAGCACGCTGCTTCTGAATACCATGGTGCGAGGGAGGACACTCGACACTTCAAAAGTGCAATAAGGTCAGGTTCCGGCGTGATTTTTTAAATTTTTTTTTTTCAAATTATGAAACCCTCTGAGCAACAAACACCTCCGACCAACAGACACCATTCTCAGTACAGATTGAAATACGCAAGTAAAAACTACAACTGTATTGTGCTGTGCCTCGTATCCGAGAATCTACCAAAGTATTTTGCCAACTTACATGATTCTTTCGTATCTTGCATTAGGGTAAGGTGGTTAGTCGATAAACCGAAAAAATCCTATACAGCTTTCATTGTATTATCGAGAATCTCCCAATTGACATGCCAGTTACGTTTTCCCTCACTTCCATTTTTGTTTACAAAATTTGTTTCTTAAACAAATTACGCGGTTGGTAGTGATGGTATGCGCAAGCAATCTTACTGATAAATTGATGTATTCAATGATTTTCTACCGTACAGTGGGATATTGGATGCAGACGTGCGGGGTATACATTCATTGCTGCAGCTATAAAGGCTTGTTCAAATTTACTCGACATTGCTGGGCAAACAGCAAATATACTATCCAACAATTTTTAAATGTCACAAACTTCTTTTTCACCAATAGTTTAAACAAACACAGACTTTCGATTTGGATAAACCTGATGATTTTCTCCAAAAGATTGGAAAAAAAAGGCAGTTGGATCAGTATTGTTGGGACCGTTTCAACGGGCCTTAATATGATCAACATACCTCGTACGTATTTCGAATCAATTGAACGATGTTTGTTGAATTACTATAAAGTATCCCAGCTTCTGCGCCGATCTCTTTTCCAAAATAGTCCACCACTTCCTGTGCAACGGAGAAAAATTGTATTCTTTCAATGTGAATGCAAGTTTTTATTGGTTTAGTTTTCGTTATTCACAACTACAGGTAAACTGCACAGGGGCTTGGTCGCCATGGTTACAGCACCTCCTAATTTTGCTGTTGCACATTTTGCTTTTGCGTACAATATTAGTGCTCATTTTGCAAAAATAATTCAAGCCAATGGCGAAGCTAGCCATACCAACATGGTATGCAAATTTTTAATGATTTGCATTATACAAACCTTCAGAAATCTTGTCTTCAACCATTTAGATGCAGGATTAAGCTGGAGTAATACGAGCAACAAAATTGCTGCAACTTGCAACAAAATCTGATTTCAACGCATGTTAAGTAGGAATGTCGACACATGTTGCCTCATGATTTGTAATGTATGTGTAAACATTTTCAATTAACATGCGTAGAAATCAGATTTTGTTGCCCGTATTACTCCACCTTTAGCATAGCATGACCAGTTGCCATGGCTAGCTTCGTCACTGATTTAAACATTATTTTTTTAGATGACGCAACTCTGAGTAGCCCAACACCGGGCAAGCTGCAAAATTGCTTGAGTGAACCTGCGACGTTTGGTTCTCGTGCTAGTCCAATGCTGCACCAGCTACGAGGACAAGTCGATCTAATGATTGTGGTGATACAACTCAGTTGCCGCTACTGCCCTCCGCACTGTATAAAGCCCTGTTAGATGTGTATTATGTTTGACTTTAAAATCTTATTTGCTATTATATTATAATAAGTGATGAAATATTTCAATTGTCCATGTCATCTTCATTATTCAGTTCCTTTTCAACAAAAATACAAAATGTGAATCAAGTTTTTTCGCAGATACATGTACGCGTCGCGTACCTATTTTTCGGCTTGGTCGCAGGTTCGGTTCCAACCGCATCTATTATTTTTCTCGACAAGTCAGACATTTTAGAAAAGCAAAGTTCAGAAGCCCAGAGTTATTACAATATTTTCAGACTAGATAACATGTGAAGATGCCTCGTCAGCAAAGTAACTTTTTCCAATTTTCTGATTATGTATACCAACCTGTAACATTTATACTGTAGTTCCAATAATCGTTTTAAGCATCTTATAAGCTTCACACATGGTGGTCGTCGATTTAGTGCGTACGCAAAATGTTTGCAGTTGTTTAATTGACGTCATTTCTATTGTCCTTTGCGTACAAGGGAGAGGGAGGGGGGTAAAAATTACGGAAAAGGTTTCTTACGTACTTAATGTATCACCTCATGGGCAACTGTGTGAACCCCACGTTCCCCTATACCCATACTAGATCCACGACGTGGCTGGCTCAACGACGCGGTCTGAATTTCAGCTCAAGAATGAGCGCTCAGCATTTCATTACTGTAATAAATGTTGAATAAATGAAGATTTTTCAAATACAGTAACATTACAAACTACTAAATTCGACTAAAGCGATGCAAAGTTTGCTTAGTTTAATGTTGTAATGAGAATGACAAAGCCGTTGAGAATACCCCTGGAACCACAAATTATTCACAGTTTTTGTCTTGCATGACAAATTTCTTTCTTTCGCAAGCGCGTCGTTGAGCCGGCCGCGTCGTAGATCTTAAGCTCTCTACTATTTTGGCCACATCCTGACAAAAAACGTTTAATTAGGAGGTGAGTTGGCTAATTGTAGTAAAATCATAGCAAAATAGTCAGGACTCACTCTGTATATGTCTATTGAATTAACATCAACGGCAAAAATTGGAACAATCCTGTTATCCGACAAAACTTTACGAAGATGAGCTAATGATGGATAGTCCTAGAAAAGCAACAAAATAAAGAACATTCACAATACCATAATAGAAATATGAAAGTAGGCTTGAAATCACACTGTATACTGTACATCCATGTGTCTATCTTTTACTTAGATTTCAGTGATTATATACTTTGTAATGACCACAGTAAAAATAATCCTATAATGTAACAATTTAACAAAACGGTTGCAAAGAATCGTTATATGTTGTAATTCTGAGACTGCTTTCAAAAGGGACGACTTTAAAAAGCAGTCGAAATCGACATTCTTAATTTAGCTAATAAATGCCTTTTAAAAACTACCGCAGTTTTAATAGATATTTTTAGGTTTACTCGAGAACTTGTTTCAAGGGCAACTAGACAGAGTAATTGAAGTTTGGTTAGAGACAACTAAAGTGGCATTTTATTATAACGGCTGAGTTGTTTTCAATTTATTTCAAGTTATTTTCTCAACCGGCAAATGCATTTAAAAAGGTAGCTAACTGTATAAACTAAAGAATAAAGCCAAAACAAAATTTTAAGAGGAACGCCAAAAATAATTTTAGGTTTTGAACATTTTTCATCGCAAATATTAAATTTTCATTCCTAAACTGTGTTTATGAAAATACCGAAAAGAAAAAAGGCAATAGCAAGGACAACAGTTTAACACCAATTGTTAATTAAAGATATAAATAAAATAAAGAAGCGGTTACCTACCATCTGTTTACCAAAGTACGTATCACTGTCATTGCCTAACTTGCACTTCCCATCATTTGGCGTAACTATACCTCCTAACTACACAATACAAGTTCGGAATAAAAAGGGTCTTGTTAAAAAATAACATGCTGAACAACTTAAGGGACGGGTCATTATTTATGGTGGGGGGTGGCACCGAAGAGAAATGTTTTTCCTGGTAAAAATTTTGCTGACCCAACCATTAAAAAGCAAAAAAATTTGATTACCCAACCTCAAATATCAATTAAAAAATAAATACCCACCCCTGGCCAAAACCTTTACAAAAGAATACCATTCAGTTGTCACACATGTCCTTCACCACTTCTGTGACACAAGTTTGATAACTAAACTTTGTTGTTGTATGTACATGTACTTTCTTGGGAGACACCATTTGTCTCCCAACAAATCGGAAAATGATCAAGATAGTGCCTCTGATTGATTCACATATTGTATTGACATAAGACTGTTGACATTGCTTTTCAGTCTCCAATATTTAAGTGAGTCATGCTTTGGAAACGACAATAACTTTTTATTACCCAACCCTTGAGTTGGTTTGTCTTTCATTTACCCAACCTTTTAGTTACTCAAAATTTAGTTTACCCAACCCTTTTCTCTTCGGTGCCACCCCCCGCCATAAATAATGACCGGTCCCTAAGGCCTGTTTACACTTGCAATTTTTGCTGCGATTTTAGGTGGGATTTTCGTCTTCTGATGCATGTGAACGAGCAGATGAGTACGTATGCTCAGAGTATATGTACCCTCATCTCAACATTCATAATTCTTCCACTCGTTCACATCCATCAGAAGAAGAAAATCGCAGCAAAAATTGCAAGTGTACACAGGCCTTTAGAGATCACCAAAAGTGTTATTTTCTATTGGCTGGGGAAAATGTTTTCTCGCACACTGCTGGGGCCCAATGAAAATATAGAGGATATTACACGGCGGCGTGAAGATAGGACTTTTATCTTCGAGTGGTGAAAACACGAGAAGATAAAAGTCATATCTTCAAGCCACCGTGTAATGTTCTATTTATTATATATTCCCATGCAAAAAATTGTGAAATTTCACGCTCAAAAGCCAATTGGAAAAAGTCACGTGATCGATATCTTCACTAGTGAAGATATGGAAAATATCTCACTGTGTATTTTTCAGTATCTCACTCTCTACTATATAATAAAGGATGTTATTGGGTGTTGCAGGTTAGATGAGCATATTTTTCCCACCCCACATCCTTTTTTATTAAGAAAAATTAGGTAGAACGTATATATAGACTGAATTGTACCTAATTTAAAACTGATATTACAATAATTAGTCGCTGGGGCACAGCCCGCAGCGACTCTAGGTTTCGGCTTCGATTTGTGTCGGATCTTGGATCGTTAGCCACAAAATGAACGTTACGTCATTAATAAATAATAAAAATTACGTCATTACTATTCGTCGCTGGATTCAAGATGGCCGCTTTCTTCGGAGCGAATTTAGTTATTTAGTATCGACAATTTCATCGATTTTGTACATATTTTTTTTATTTTTCCGATGAAACTTTAAAGTTTCCCGATGAACCAGACTTTATAAAGCGAAAGTCATTTTATGTGAGTAACTTGGATCGCTACAAGCTTGAAATAGACGACAAAAGTTCACAATATTTATATAATATTCGCAAACTGCCGTTTATTTGGATGCTTTTTTCTACGGCCCTTGATGCAAGCAATCCTGATACGGATAAGCGGTCAAAAGAACATGATGTAGCCTAACAAGACAGAAATACAAGGACCAGGTGTCAGGCGTGTAAACCTGTAACATTTCAGTTATTTCATCAATATATTGTGTTTTTAACGGGTAAATGTTGGGGCCAGAGTAATAGACTCTTTCAAGTTGAAGATGCCATAATGAAACACAATAGTGCAAGGGGTGCAAACAAAATGGAATTTCCTGGTGAGAATAATATATTGAATATGGCGTCCTCAAGTAAAATTGTCTAGTGTTACGCAGAGTAAAGTAATAAAGTAGGGGGGGGGTTAACTTTGAAAGTATCCAGCGTGTCAGGCTCTATCCTTGAAATAAAGCTGCCCTGCGAGCAAAGTCCTCTCCTATTTCTTCTCGGCACGGAGAAGCGAGAGAGACTCTGCAGAACTTGGGTAGAAATTCATTTGAGCATGTGCGAAGGTTGCTAAGCAACTGTCTATTTCCCAGAAGAAGATTTAATAAGTAGTTTCTGGTTTCGTTGTTTCCGGCATCAAAACCAGTTATTAAACCAGTATCAAACCTGAAATTATACATAATTATCCAAGTTTTTGGATTGTTGGCTCCACAAAGAATATACACAAGTTTTGCAGAATCTCTCTCGCTTCTCCGTGCCATGCCGAGAAGAAATATGAGACGACTTTGCTCACAGGGTAAAATAAAGCCTGCTACGGAGACAATAAATGCATATGATTCGTAGTACACACAAAATTCCCATTGGTCAGAATTAGTAGCTTTTCTTTTAAGGTAATATCAAATTGTTGTTTACATAATGATATTCCATACTTGCTGTTGATTAACACAGTCTTTAACCATTGTTATTATTTGGTATGTAATTCCTGGCTGTTTAATTAATGAAAAATTATTGGAATATTTCTTTTTAAGATATTGGCAGAAGAGTTGTCTGTTATTGTCATATTTTAAAATTAGCTTTGATAATCTAATGTATCAGTTAATTCCAGCAGTTCCCATCCCCTCACCCCCGGGCCTTTGCAGCTTTTCCTAATCCAAGGGGCGGAGCTATTGCCGATATTTTTAGCCTAGCTGGGGGTGAGGATTTTGACGTTTTCCATCATGGGGGATTTGGCATATTTCTCTGGAAAAGACATTGAATTTGTTTGCAAATGGCTTGGGGGCAGCCATTTTCTTCCCTGACATGCAAGCTACCTTGAAAGGACATTTTGGCAATTTCTGTTGCCCAGCCTGAGGCGAACGCAATAAATTGTTATAAATGTTTTGTGAAGTGCACAGATTTTTCCTGGAGTTTGGGACAAGTCTTTATTTATGGAAGAGGGAGGGGGGGGGGCAAAGGTGGGGCCATGAGTATAAATAAATGATAAAGTAGTAGTTATAATATGTAGTAGGCTAACTTCCTAACTATAGGTAGTAGTTTAATAGTTTTTAATTAATTCTTAAGGTGTAACAAGACTCACATTGATAACAGCACTTTTGTGCTGAAATGTATATATCCAGCCTGTGTAAATATTCGTTATAATAATAAATAATAATAATAAGAATAATAATAATAAGGGGGGGTATTACATTTTTTGAGAAAATTGAAGGGTCAAAATGTTGAGTTGCAATAAATTTGAATAAAATTGCTGAATCCTGGTTTCCAATGTTCTCGAAGTTGGCTTAAGCCAGATAAATCCAATGAAATCACCGTACCCAGGGTTTCTGTACTTATTGCTCTCATATCTTC